CCTCCAGCTTCGGTTCCTCCTCCTGGGCCTCCGGCTCGGGTTCCTCCTCCTGGGCCTCCAGCTCAGGTTCCTCTCCTGGGCCTCAGCTCGGTTCCTCCTCCTGGGCCTCCAGCTCGGGTTCCTCCTCCTGGGCCTCCTGTTTCTCCAGTTCGGGTTCCTCCTCCTGGGCCTCCAGCTCGGTTCCTTCCTCCTGGGCCTCCAGCTCGGGTTCCTCCTCCTGGGCCTCAGCTCGGGTTCCTCCTCCTGGCCTCCAGCTCGGGTTCCTCCTCCTAGGCCTCAGCTCGGGTTCCTCCTCCTGGGCCTCCTGCTCGGGTTCCTCCTCCTGGACCTCCAGCTCGGGTTCCTCCTCCTGGGCCTCCATCTCTGGTTCCTCCTCCTGGGCCTCCAGCTCAGGTTCCTCTTCCTGGGCCTCCAGCTCGGGTTCCTCCTCCTGGGCCTCCAGTTCGGGTTCCTCCTCCTGGGCCTCCAGTTCGGGTTCCTCCTCCTGGGCCCCCAGTTCGGGTTCCTCCTCCTGGGCCTCCAGTTCGGGTTCCTCCTCCTGGGCCTCCAGCTCGGGTTCCTCCTCCTGGGCCTCCAGTTCGGGTTCCTCCTCCTGGGCCTCCAGTTCGGGTTCCTCCTCCTGGGCCTCCAGTTCGGGTTCCTCCTCCTGGGCCTCCAGCTCGGGTTCCTCCTCCTGGGCCTCCAGCTCGGGTTCCTCCTCCTTGGCCTCCAGCTCAGGTTCCTCCTCCTGGGCCTCCAGCTCGGGTTCCTCCTCCTGGGACTCCAGTTCGTGTTCCTCCTCCTAGGCCTCCAGTTCGGGTTCCTCCTCCTGGGCCTCCAGCTCGGGTTCCTCCTCCTGGGCCTCCTGCTCGGTTCCTCCTCCTGGGCCTCCAGCTCGGGTTCCTCCTCCTACCTCCAGTTCGGTTCCTCCTCCTGGGCCTTCAGTTCGGGTTCCTCCTCCTGGGCCTCCAGTTCGGGTTCCTCCTCCTGGGCCTCCAGCTTTGGTTCCTCCTCCTTGGCCTCCAGTTCGGGTTCCTCCTCCTGGACCTCCAGCTCGGGTTCCTCCTCCTGGGCCTCCAGCTCGGGTTCCTCCTCCTGGACCTCCAGCTCGGGTTCCTCCTCCTGGGCCTCCAGCTCGGGTTCCTCCTCCTGGGCCTCCTCTCTGGTTCCTCCTCTTGGACCTCCAGTTCGGGTTCCTCCTCCTGGACCTCCAGCTCGGGTTCCTCCTCCTGGACCTCCAGCTCGGGTTCCTCCTCCTGGGCCTCCTCTCTGGTTCCTCCTCCTGGGCCCCCAGTTCCTCCCTCCTGGCCTACAGTTCGGGTTCCTCCTCCTGGGCCTCCAGCTCTGGTTCCTCTCCTGGCCTCCAGCTCGGGTTCCTCCTCCTGGGCCTCCAGCTCAGGTTCCTCCTCCTGGGCCTCCAGTTCGGGTTCCTCCTCTGGGCCTCCAGCTTCGGGTTCCTCCTCCTGGGCCCCCAGTTCGGGTTCCTCCTCCTGGGCCTACAGTTCGGGTTCCTCCTCCTGGGCCTCCAGCTCGGGTTCCTCCTCCTGGGCCTCCAGCTCGGGTTCCTCCTCCTGGGCCTACAGTTCGGGTTCCTCCTTCTGGGCCTCCAACTCGGGTCCTCCTGGACCTCCAGCTCGGGTTCCTCCTCCTGGGCCTCCAGCTCAGGTTCCTCCTCCTGAGCCTCCAGCTCGGGTTCCTCCTCCTGGGCCTCCAGCTCGGGTTCCTCCTCCTGGGCCTACAGTTCGGGTTCCTCCTTCTGGGCCTCCAGCTCGGGTTCCTCCTCCTGGGCCTCCAGCTCGGGTTCCTCCTCCTGGGCCTCCAGCTCGGGTTCCTCCTCCTGGGCCTCCAGCTCGGGTTCCTCCTCCTGGGCCTCCAGCTCGTTCCTCCTCCTGGGCCTCCAGCTCGGGTTCCTCCTCCTAGGCCTCCAGCTCGGGTTCCTCCTCCTGGGCCTCCAGCTCAGGTTCCTCCTCCTGGACCTCCAGCTCGGGTTCCTCCTCCTAGGCCTCCAGCTCGGGTTCCTCCTCCTGGGCCTCCAGCTCAGGTTCCTCCTCCTGGACCTCCAGCTCGGGTTCCTCCTCCTAGGCCTCCAGCTCGGGTTCGTTCTCCTGGGCCTCCAGCTCGTTCCTCCTCCTGGGCCTCCAGCTCGGGTTCCTCCTCCTAGGCCTCCAGCTCGGGTTCCTCCTCCTTGGCCTCCAGCTCGGGTTCCTCCTCCTGGGCCTCCAGTTCGAGTTCCTCCTCCTGTTCCTCCTCCTGGGCCTCTAGTTCGGGTTCCTCCTCCTGGGCCTCCTCTGGGCCTCCAGCTCGGGTTCCTCCTCCTGGGCCTCCGGCTCGGGTTCCTCCTCCTGGGCCTCCAGCTCGGGTTCCTCCTCCTGGGCCTCCAGTTCGGGTTCCTCCTCCTGGGCCTCCAGTTCGGGTTCCTCCTCCTGGGCCTCCAGTTCGGGTTCCTCCTCCTAGGCCTCCAGCTCAGGTTCCTCCTCCTGGGCCTCCAGCTCAGGTTCCTCCTCCTGGGCCTTCAGCTCGGGTTCCTCCTCCTGGGCCTCCATCTCTGGTTCCTCCTCCTGGGCCTTCAGCTTGGGTTCCTCCTCCTGGGCCTCCTCCTGGGCCCCCAGCTCGGGTTCCTCCTCCTGGGCCTCCTCCTGGGCCCCCAGCTCGGGTTCCTCCTCCTGGGCCTCCAGCTCGGGTTCCTCCTCCTGGGCCTCCAGCTCGAGTTCCTCCTCCTGGGCCTCCAGTTCGGGTTCCTCCTTGGCCTCCAGTTCGGGTTCCTCCTCCTAGGCCTCCAGTTCGGGTTCCTCCTTGGCCTCCAGTTCGGGTTCCTCCTCCTGGGCCTCCAGCTCGGGTTACTCCTACTGGGCCTCCTCCTGTGCCTCCAGTTGGGGTTCCTCCTCCTAGGACGGTGAATCCACAGAGAGCTACACATACCTTGGTACTGCAGTCCATGTCTCTGAGCTGTCAGACCAGGAAGTCAGTAGACGGAGTGGTCTGACAGCAGGAAACATGAACTCGGTCAGCAAGAATATTTGGAGGTGCCAGTACCTATGCAGAAGGACTAAGTTGCGTTCGTCTATCTCTCTCCGTTATTTGTCTTGGTCTCTCTTTGTGTCTTTCTCTTTATGTAATTCTCTATGTCTTTGTCTCTCTTTGTCACTTCTTGTGTCTTTCTCTTTATCTTATTCTTCTATGTCTTTGTCTCTCTTTGTCACTTCTTTCTGTCTTTCTCTTGCCTGACTTCAAGGCCTTCTTAGGTTACTGCCAGTTCTGCTCTATGGAAGCGAAACCCGGACGCTACCTATTAAACAGTTACCTATTACCCCTCATCCCCCTTAGCCTTACGCTAGAGATCCTACTCTCCCTCCTAGTTACTAAGGATCCTTCTAGTGCCCTGGAGTTGCGTCTCGATGCCCTTTGTAACAAGTTCCTACGCCGGGTCGTGGGGCACAGCTGGCAGAACCATGTCTAACCGCGCGACGAGGCGACGACTACACCGTGACAGTATTGATAACTGTAATAACATTAATTATGATTATAATGAATGACATTAATGATAAAGAGAGTAGTAATAATAGTATTAACAACAATGATAATGATAGCTATAATGATAATGATGATGACAATAATAATGATAATAACAAAATGATAATAGTGATAATAATGATAATGTTAATAATAATAACGATAATAATAAAGATAATAATGATAATGATAATAGTGATAATGATAATGATAAGAACAAATTAATGATCATAACAATAATGACAACATTATTATTGATGATTATGATAATAATGATAGTAATGATAATAATATTACGATAATAATAATAATAATAATGGTAATGATGATAGTAATACTACTAATAATGAATATAATAATGATAACCGTAACAATAATAATAACAATAATGATGATTTTGATAGTAATGATAACAATAATAATCATGATGTTAATAGTAATAATGGAAATAATGATAACGATAATGAAAATAATAATAGTAGTAATTCCAGTAGTGATAAAAGTAATAATACTAATAATAACAATAATAATAACAATAATGATCATAATAATAACAATAACAATAATAATCATCATCATAGTGATAATAATAATGATAATAACAATAATTATGATTATAATGATAACAGTGATAATAATCATCATCTTATATGCATGTTAGGCATCACTACCACCACATGTATGCAACACTACCTTCCCTTGCTCGAGGTGGTGCAACAAGAGCAACAAAACAGTCGCAATAATAATGATGATAATAATGATAGCAATGATAATGATAATAACAATAATAGCAACAGCAACAAACATAATAGCAATGATAATAGAAATGATGCTGATAATAAGGATGATAATAATGATGACGATAATAACAATGATGATGATGATTATTATTATTATCATTATAACAAAAACAACAATAATTACAATAGTAATAATAATGACATAAATAGAAAGAATGATAATAATAATCATAATGATGATAATAACATAAGTCATAATGATAATAACAATGATAATAATAATATTAATAATAATAACAATGATAATAATACTAATGATAACAATGAGAATGATAATAACAATAGTTATTATTATTATTGTTATTATTATTATTATTATAGTAATGATGATAATAAGAACAATTATCAAAACGGTAATAATAACAGTAACGATAACTACCCTTGAGAGAATGTGGTACATACATTGTCTTCATTCCTCTATATAGCCACATCTTGGGGATCTTGCCTATAAACTATATAGCCACTAATTGACAGTCTTGATAGATGCTCAAATCAGACATATAAATTATTTAGCTACCTCTTGACATTTTTAACAGATGACTAAATCAGACATATAAACTATTTAGCCACCTCTTGACATTTTTAACTGATGACTAAACCAGACATATAAAACTATTTAGCCACCTCTTGTCATGTGTTGACAGATCAAAGACTATACGTATATATTCTCTGTTGACAGATGACCAAACCAGACATAAAGTGACGTCACGCTCCTCCCACAGCCAGTCTCCCTCCGGACACGACGGCGACAGGAACCCCTACACGTGGCCTTTTATCACCGGACTCGTATTCTTATCTCTTCGGGAGTAATTTGAATTAGTTATCGTGCGTTTATTATCCCTGCTAAAAATGGCGGCGGTTGAACCCATTGCTATCGATGGAAGCTTTTTGGAAGGTGTAAGTATTTTTTGATTTATGAAAAATATGAATTAAGAAAAGTTGAGTATGTCTTGTATGTGTTTGTGCATTTGTATTTGTGTTTGCCAGTCTTTACAAACAGATATTTCGTCAAGTATTCCTTATTTTTTGTTTTTATTTTTGTTAATTCTTACGGTCCGTCAATCCCATGTGTAGTTTGGAAAATGATCTTGTTTACGGTTGAAAATGATTGATACCGGTATGTGTAATATGATTGTAAACTTCCTTTTTCATGGGGATTATATAGTTCTCGTGTTTTGTTTGTTTTCGTTTTCTACTTATATTGTTCTTGCCACATTTTTGTTTGTTTTTTGCAAATTGTCAGTGGGCGTGGTTTGGTTGTCTGTTTTTTTTTCACATTAGTTGTCATCCATAAGGACTAGTGATATAATTAATTCAAAGCAATGTTTTGCACCATGCTTTGCAACTTACCTTAGATTTCCCTTCGTGTCATTCCATATCAAATCATTAGATTTTTTAACCATATGTAACCCACCATGTAGAATGTCATTGATCTTTTGAATATTTGTAACAAAGTGGTTATAGAAATGGAAAAATCTGTGCCACTTAGCCCGAAAATCATTGTGTGGAAACAGATCCGTTTCTCTATCTGCAGAAAATCTTTCTGTAGAGATGGATAACCGGAACACTTCCTCGAATCGAGATCGAGGTTGTCGAATGCAGCCGAGTACTGCCAAAGAAGACCTGAATTGGTTTGGTTAGAGTTAGGGTAGGATAGGATAGGATAGGATGGATGGGAAACCGGATCCGTGCCTCCAAGAAAAAACATATTTGTGTAGAAATGTATCCGTTTCTATAACCCTTGCCTATTTGTTAACTCCATTAAGAACAGTAAAAAAAAAAAAAGATTGTGATTAATATCTCGAGCGGTTTCATATTTACAGATAAACAAAAAGTACCTTATTTTAGGCTCTGACACCACCCGTTTCACTCGCTGGGACATCTGGGGCATTTTAAATTAATTTCATACTTCACATGTGAATGATAATTTGTAACCTGCACCTATTGATCCTGAGGAATCCTAAAATCACACTTAGAATTTCTTGAAATGAAGCTATCTGCATGAATTTGATCAATGATTCCATTCATTGGTGTCAGGAAATTTTTAATCTCTTCATTTTGAGCCAATTTTTTTCTATGTCTCCTTAAACATACAGCAATTTACTTTATACCAATTGAAGGAACATTCTTTGAACTGTTTAAAAATGCCAAAAGAATCATTTGTTTATGGAGGAGATAAAAAATTATTGAAAAACTCTTGATTTTTGTAAAAATTTGCCATTGTACATAAATTGTTACTAATTATTTTGAAATATTTGTTTGCAAGCATGGCCTCAAAAGTTCATAGAGAGTCCAACAGTTTTAGAAGATCTGGCATTTGAAACTTTCTGAGTATCAAGACTTCAAATCATTCACAGAACAGTTTTATAAAAGCCTGATGCCTAACTACTTTTGGATTTAAATAGCATTTAAAAGGTACAGTCAGAGTGACTGAAGTGATGACTTTACTTTAAGGTGAATAACAAATTACAGTATAGGTTGAAGACACCGAAGCACGTAGATAGAGGGAAATGGACACCGCCATCTTATAGAGCGGATGAAATAGAGTGGAATAGAGCATAGTTTAAACTGCAGCGGCCCCATATTTACTGGTAAATGATGAAAATATAATGCGCGCTTGCCTTTCAAATTCCAAGTCCATCAGCATGCTTACCTTGTGAAGAAAAACACAATACTGACCCATGAACTCCTTACTGCGATGCCCTAAGTAGTACCAGTGTTACTATGCGCTTGTCAAAACAATATTTGGCTACTTATCACTGTATAATGTTGCACATTTATGCTCTTAAAGTATTTTATTAATATTATTATACTTCATTTATATGTTTTAAGATTGGTTTATAGCCTTATTTAGAATCGTGCGCTTTGTGCATTTCACAACTCCTTTCGCCTGCTGCCAGGTTGATACCTGGCCAGCCCGCTCATTTCGAGGTGGAACGCTGGTAAGAAATGTTGCGTTTCCAGTGTTGTGTTCATTCTAGGTTATTCTAAAGACTATACAGTGACAAAGAAGATAAAATAGACTTCAGTAATGATCCCAGTTTAATATATGGGCCCACCAAGAGCTCCAAATGCCAAAAAAGTTATTAAAATCGAAGCAATCCAGATGGTAGAAGGAAGCGAACGAAAGTTTGATGGCCGCAGATTTAAAGGTATTTTGTTTATCATTTTGTGTTGTGAATGCAGCTGTATCTTGCCGTACATACCGAGGTGAAGAGAATGTGCCCTGGGGGGTGTTGGGGGCAGAGCCCCCCAATCAGCTGGTTTATTGGTCAATATGTATTTTTAGGGGGTTTGGAACATGTGATTTTCCCCGTAGAGTTTTGCCGAAAGGTGGGTTGGGATCCCTTTGGATTTTTTAATTCTGGCGCGTCAGCCCGTAGAATTTCAAAGATGGCGGTTACATCTGTAGAGTTTCATTGGCCGATTTTAAGTGTTTTATGCATTTTTGAGCTTTATTCTTCTTATTTCAGCCTGTTTTACCCCTTCCCTTAATTTCCCTGATATACTTTATGTCCTCCCCTCCATCAAATCAAGATCGTTGATGGAGCAATGGTACTCGATCTCCCGAACGATTCATTTCCACAAAAAACAACACCGGAAATCAATGAAATTATTGGATTTCCTGCAGAAAAACATCAATTTTTTCGACTTAGTCTGTGGGAGGGTGCATCACTCTGTAACAAATACCCAAATTACCTTTCAGTTTGCCATAGTAAAAATATTACATATTTGTTTTAAATCAACTTCAGTTTTATTGTATGTCCAGTCAGTGACAGTATGGGTGCCTTAATCTGGCAGATTATTTCAGGCAACAGCGGTGGGGGTTCAAATCCCTTTTGGAGTGGTTATATATTCATCATATCAATGCGGCCTGTGCATTATTCCATCTTTCATAGTCATTTAAGCTTATTATCTTCAGAGAAATGCATTTTTTGAGGTTTCCAAGTATTGTTAAATGTGCCTGCAAAAGCATCATCTTCAGATATTCACTTGTAAGCAATGACACAATGTGGCTCAAAGAAGTGGTAGCTCCTGGTCCCAGGTAATGTATGTCGTGGGTCAAATCTGCTTTGCAACTTTCTATGAACACCACTCATTCCTTCTTTCGAGATAAACAAAAATCTGACGTTTGAAATGTTCTCTTGGCAGAATGTACACACACTTGAAACAGTGAGAATTTGCTCAGACAATAGTTTCTTGTCAGGTTGTCAATCTCTTGACTGTTTCCCCTATTCTGTCACTTTATGATTTGCCTTGACTTGTTGCAAAGAAAGTCTAGTTTGCATCAATGCTGAAATCTGCTTTATGATATCATAAGGGAAATATTCAATGTTGTTGATGAAAGCCATGATTTTTAGTAACTGTTATTTCATAGACAAAACTGGTATCATGGTCTAAATCATCTGACAAAGCAAAATGGTTTGTTGAAAAGTGTCTCTTTATTATAGAATATATAACTATTGGATGCAGGGTACAGGGTAATTGTCACTGATATCAAAGCATCCCCCCAGAGACTAAGTAAAAAAAAAATAATGTTTTTCGGCAGGAAATACAATGATTTCATCAAATCTCTTTGTTGTTTATTCTGCGAATGAATCGATCAGGAGATCAAGTACCATTTGATAGTTCCGTTAACAGGGGAGGGCAAGAAGTATATCACGGAAATTATGGGGTAAAACAGGCTGAAATAAGAATAATAAAGCTCAAAAATGCATAAAACACTTAAAATCGGCCAATGAAACTCTACTGATGTAACTGCCACTTTTGAAATTCTACGGATGTAACGGCCATTTTGGAAATTCTATAGACTGATGTGCCAATATTCAAAAACTTTACAGGAGCCCAACCCACCTTTTGGCAAAACTCTACAGGAATTCACATGTTAGAACCCCAAAAAAAATATTGACCAACAAACCAGCCTGATCTAACAATTTAAGTTGTCATGACTAGGCGTGCCTGGGTTGATGGGGGGCAGATCCTCTCAACACCCCTGGGACACATTCTCTTCACCTTGGTATGCACAGCGAGATAAAGCTGCATTCACACCATAAAATGATAAACCAAATACCTTTAGATCTGGAAACGTTAAGCTTTCATTCGCATATTTCTTCTGTCTGGATTGCTTCAATTTAATCATTTTTTCGGCATTTGGAGCTCTTGATTGGGCCCAGATATTAACCTGGCATGGTTACTATAGTCTAATTATTCTTCGTTGCCACTTTAAAATAACCCAGAACACTGGAAACTCAACATTTCTCACAGGTGTTCTGTCATTGAATTGGCCTTTTCAAGATCAGCAGTGACTTTCCCATTTCAAAGAAGGCTATATTCAGTTCCTACAGCTGCTGCAAATGGCAGCTTAAATGTGACCACTGCACTGTCTAACGTTACATGTGCATAAGAAATTTGATAAAGCTTTAGAATGCTGTGTTTTTGGGGCAAAAAACAAAAACAAAAAAAATAGCTTAGAAGTTTTTAAGACACCTATTTTTGATTGACTTGTTGAAGAGGATGATTCAACTTCAGATATCTCAAGTACATTGAAGTGGCTTCTTTAACACTATTCTGTGAATGATTTGGTCTTGGTACTCAGGAAGTTTCAAATACCAGATGTTATAAAACTTTTGGGCTTTTTATGAACTCTTTGAGGCCATGCTTGCAAGCAAATATTAAAAAATATTTGGTAAAAATATATGTATAATGGCAAATTTTCACAAAAATAAAAAGATTTCTTCAACTGCAATCACTTTTTGTCTCCTCCATAAACAAATGGTTCTCATGATACTTTTAAACAGTTCAAAGACTGCTCCTTCAATTGGTATAAAGTAAATTGCTGTATATTTAAGGAGACAGAAAAAAAATTGGCTCAAAATGAAGAGGTTAAAAATTTTCTGACACCAATGAATGGTTTTATTGATCAAATTTATACAGATGCCTTCATTTCATGATATTCTAAGTGTGATTTTTGGATCCTTTTTTCTTTTTCTTTTCTTTCTTATCTCTCTCTCTACTGTTCTCAATGGGGTTAACAAATATTTAAAGGATCTATGACATTCTGCATGGCGGCTTACAATGTTACAACCCTGTTAAATTTAATATGGAATGACGCCTTCATGTATACTTGACTTTCTTATTTTTATGCGATGCTTGCCATGTTTATTTATTTATTATTTTTTCTCGGTCTCATTTAATTCTTGTTATTGTTTTTAGTTTCAAAGTGGTTATTGGATTGTAAATGTAAATTGTAAAAGTAATTGGGAATTTCTAATATAGCATTGCCAATACCATTATCAGATCTGCATTATGTTTCTTTTTTGAGAACTTCTTCTCATGGTGAATTTTTAATGGAAGATAAGCAGGTTTCCATTTTAAATGGTGTATGGAATGGTTACTTTGATTAAATTTGAGACCCTTTTTATTTGTGGCATTTCTTGTGTAAATTGAAGTAAAGATAGAGCACAAGAAAAGACTAAGTCTTTTCATTATTATAATGACTATTGTTAAGATATATCCATGATTTATCCACATTTATTTTTATATTGGGACTTTTACCCACTACTTACTGTGTGATGAAAGTTTGGAAGATGCCTTTATGTCTGCAACAAGCCTGTTTGGACTCTGACAAAGACCAGCGAACATCCATTATATACTGTCTAGTAGGGTAAAGCTTGACAACACCTCCCTGACAATCTATTACCATGAAAGAAGCAGTCCTAAGCAACAGTTTATTGACAAATAAAGAAGCAATCCAAAATGGCAATTTATCGGTAGTCAGAGAACCAGTCCCAAGCGGCAGTTTATCAGCAAATAAAGAACCAGTCTCAAGCAGCAATTTTTGACAAATAAAGAACAGATCCCAAGCTTTACCGTCTTAGATTAAGCATAGTAGGAGTTTATTGGCCCCTGCCAGAGCTCAAGATATGTTGCAGGAATAGCTGAGGGCATTATTATTTTTATATATATATCTTTATATATTTTTTTTTTCTGGGCCACTTTCCTTGTTTTCAGATAGTTTGTATTCCATTATAGTTACAAAAAAGAAAGAAAGAAAAAAAAATCTCATAAAATATTTATCTAGGCTAAAATATAGGTTAGAAATATCTACACAAACTAAATCTTGATTTTAGTACCTCTTGATATCTATACAAGTCTGTTACAAGATTTTGAATGATAATTTTGTTTTGATGCAACATATAATTTTGTAATAAACTGCTACCAGAAAATTGTATTTATTTGGTGTTTTATTCAATCTTTCATTCATTTCCGTAGGCCTATTCTCTGTTGGCGCGTATGCATGTTTGGGGGTGTGTATCACGTGCGCATGCATCAGTTTGCACATTTATGTGGAATCTTTTTCCATTGTATGAATTCCTTTATTTATTTATTTTTTTATTTATTTTTTTTTTTTTATTGTAGATTGTGCTGCCTTTCTTTATTAATGTGATTTTGAATTATATCCTGTATTTTAGACAAAGGTAAGATTGTCATAATTATAAAGGCATCCTGTAATACAAACATATTTAATATTTATCATTACTTAAAATTCTGTAGTTGTAGCTCATACAATAGCATATTTTTATATACATTTAGAAATATCTCATAGTTTTCACATTTATCAGGATTTTTTATTATATTCATCTCCTATTAGGGTGGCCAGATTCTGCGCATGGGACTGGCCCTGAGCTCTGTGCGAAAGCTTCCTATAACAGTCACAAAGATCCGAGCAGGAAGACCTAATCCTGGTTTGCGGCCACAGCACTTAACAGGTACGGTATTATAGAAAATGATAACCACTTATTACATATAGGAAAATGTTTTTAGGGTCTTATGATGCAGATTTTTCCAAGGAAATTTTAGATTTATACATGTAGCATATATTTCAAATTGTGCATTTATTAAAAAAAAAAACTTTATTGTTAACATTATCCAAAAGTGTGCATGTCCAAAAATATGTGAATATTTTATGTATATATATTTTTCTGGGATCTTTGAATAAGAGTGGAAAATAGTATAGATGAGAATTAATTAACAAGTTTAGGTTTTAAAAGTTTTAGAAATTCTTTACATAAACAATTAAGGGGTTAAATATAATGGAGGAAAAAATTGAAATAAAACTGGTCATAACCATTGATATCTAGATTAAATATAGGAAAAAGTAATAGCTATGTTAATTATTTATGGAGGCTGTTTTGTATAACTTACAATTTTAGGGTACTGAATATAAATTATAGAGAAAAAATGTTTACAAGTTACTTATTTGAGCAATGACCTAAGGGTTACAGCTGGTGAGGGACACAAGCAATGGCCGTCTGGAAGGAGGGGAGATCGGGTCGATGGAGATCAGCTTTTACCCGGGTCATATTTCGGGCGGTAAATATGTAGCCGATACTCAGACTGCTGGGTAAGTTTGTTTGTATTTTATTTTAATATTGATAATAATGTAACTTAGTGACATAGTGAAAATTTCGATTGTGTTAAAAATAGTGTTTAGAGATTAGAAATAATCTTATGGAAATTAATATTTCTTTAATCATTTTCAATCAGTTTGCGGAACTGTTGACAAATTTCACATTGTAACAAAAGAAGCCATTTCAAAATATTTGAAAATTATTTTAACTTTTCCCAGATCCCTAAAGTTAAAATTGACTAGGAACAGAATAGTAAGTATTAGATAGTTCTGAATTTTAAATGGTTGATATCCCACTTATTTCCATTGTAGGAGTGTGAGTCTGTTAATACAAGCTGCCTTGCCATGTGCACTGTACGCCAGCAGCCCAACCTATCTGACCTTGTCTGGCGGAACCAACGCAGAAATGGCGCCACAAGTTGACTACACTATACATGTAAGCAAAACGTGTAGATTAGTAGTTAAAAAGTGCATGTGTTTATTTATTTATGTAAATAGTTCATATATTTATTCAAAGATACTGTTTTCAAAGAAATGGTAAGGGATTTGTCAAAAAGAATACATCTGTTGTTATTTTTTCCTCTTCTTCAATATGAATATCATGCTCATTTATTTGAAGAAAGTATATAGATTCCAACAATTTTCAAAAGACTTTGTTAAATATTATTTTCTGTTCTTGTTGACAAGACCTAATCCCTAAAATTCTCTTAGTATTTATTTTACTGCCCCCCATCCCCCAGTATGATAAAACATCATTTCTAAGACAGAAACAAAATATTCTTTGATGTGAAAAGTTGATATAAACAATCAAAGTAAAATTCAGTATTAGGAAATAATAATAATAAGAAAAAAAAAACAGTGAATGTGAAATGGCACAAAATTTATTAATGCATTCTCTCCAGGTATTCAGAAAAGTTAGTGCCTGGTTTGGTGCAGACTTCCGGCTCTTCCTCCATAGAAGGTACTGTTTTGAGAAAAGAAAAAGAGGTGAAAACAAAGGTTATTGGCTAAGCCTGTTTTAGAGGTACTGCAATATGTGGTAATTTTTGTTCACATGAAGAAAGTTTTGCAGTGTATAGGATTTTACTCTTGTTTGGTTATAAACGTTTAGTCTTTTAGGTATCCAAGAATTGTTAAGTTCACTCCTCCTCTCAACACAGAGAATGTTTTTGTTTTGTTTTAATCACTCTTGATAAAGACTATGGGTAGTGCCTGATACTTTCATGGTTGAAGGCAAAACTTGTGATCATGATGAGGAGAGTACAATGTAATTTGTGAATTAAGAAATATAGAAATATTGGCAATGTGATTAGTTTTATTGTTGATTGGAAAAGAGTAGTAATACCATACAAAACATGTGATTATTGTTAGATTAGTTGTAATAGACAATATAGAGTAGTTTTTTATGCAATTAATTTTGCACCTTTAAGTGTAATGTCTTTTGACAGGAAAGTAAGAATGGCTATTCAAAATTAAGCTAAAAGTTCAGATTTATAAAGATATATAAATATTTATGATAAGTATTTATAAAAGGCCCATTTTCATGTATATATTATTGAACTGGCGACATAATGGATTGGTAATAATTTAGCAGGGCTAAAATGCAAATGGTATGTCTTTAAGAAATATATTAGTTTTTGTAAGTAATGAAGGATAATGCTTATGTTTCAGGGGATTCTATCCTCAAGGAAGAGGAGAGGTATCCTTAGAAGTGAAACCGGCCCGACAAGGTCTGATTGCCGCAGATTTTACTGACTTTGGTGAAGTCATATCAGTTTATGGCAAAGCTTATGTAGCTGGAGTTCTCCCTATACGAGTCAGTATACCTTACATATATATCATCTAATTAAGTGTACTATGTGTGAGGGGAAATGTAAAATGAAGTAAATTTTGAATATCTAAATAATTTAGGAAGAAGTGCCCGAGTAGAGGTTGACTTACCATTTATCTTGTAATTTTACTAATACTTGGGTGCTTTATTTTAACTAATCTTCAAAATATTGAAAGTCCAAACATCAAAGAAAATAGTGATACTGGTATGAAAAATGGTTGCCTACTTACTCTAAAACTCCTTTTAGGTTGCACACAAAATGGCAGATGCTGCAGAAAACCTTCTGTATGAGAATCTCCCTCAAGGAGTTAAAATTCGTGTTGACCGAATCCAAGAACATCCTGAGACAGCTGTTGGAAGTGGCTCTGGCATTGTGTAAGATAACCAATTCGAATAGTTCAGCATTTAGACATTTAGAAATTTAAGGTTAGAGTAAGATTGATATTTGTAGAGTTGTTTTAGAGACTTTTTATTTTAAACTGTACTACAGAATTTAATTTGGATATCCCTGCACAAGATTAACTGTTTTTATGTCTTTCAATGTAGCTTGTGGGCTGAGACAACTAGCGGTTGCATCCTTGGTGGTTCCAGTCTGGGTAAGAAGGGCAAACCTGCAGAACAGGATGGGGAGAAAGCAGCCAAAGAAATCTTAGATTGCATCAAAAGGAAGGCATGTCTGGATAGCCATGCTCAGGATCAGGTATGTAGATATTTGTGATGAACAGATTTCATAAGAAAAAATACAATAGACAAATGAAATTACAAATAGGTTGATAACATAGTAAGGTAAGTACTGTATTGTAAGAACAATATGTAATAAGTCAGCTTGTGAATAAGTAAATAATATCAAAAGAATAGCACTGTTCTTAATTGACTTTGATTTCCTGTTTGTCCAAGGTTATACTATACATGGCTTTAGCGAAAGGCAAATCCATTATACGTACTGGGCCCTTAACAGACCACACCAAGACAGCTATACATGTTGCGGAGTTAATGACTAAGGTAATTAGAGTACTATTTCTGTATTATTTCTGTTATTTTGTTGTTTATCTTGAGGTTATATGTGATTCTTTGATGATATATATACTCAGCTATGGATTTATTTTTTCTCTTATAGGTGAAGTTTACCATCACAGAAGATAAGGAGAGTGACTGCATATTTATAGAATGTGATGGGTTAGGCTTAACTCCAAAGGATAGAAAGTAAATAGTCTAGATTTACATTACTAGCATATACTGGAAAATATATATACATATATATATTATATAAGATATATGTTATATACTATATATATTGACGTTCACAACAATAATCTAAGGATTGTTACAACAGTGAATTAATTTTTTTTCATTTAATCTAGTCCAAAGAGCATTTTTTTTTTTCCTTCTAATTGACATTCTTGTGAAGATTTTTTTAATAGTGATCTGCCAATTGTATCTGAATATTGGTACGTAATTAATGTATCCTAACCTTCAAGTACATAATGGACGCATGACAGGAAAGCCACACAATGAACCCCGAGAAGCAGTCCCTCTAGTTTATGGAATCTCAGATTATACACCCTTTGTCTCTCTCTCGCATTAGAGATATTCACCCTTCCCCTGTTGTGTTGAGGAACACAATTTTTATTTATATATTTTTTTCATGCTTGGAACTTCCCAAATGCAATGTGTACTTTGGCTGGAATATCTACTCTAAGGCTAAATACCCCTCTAGTAGTCCTCTTATATAATTGTCTATCCACTTGTGTTGGCATTCCCTCGCTTTTCAAGGACAGTATTATGTGCTGCTTATCCTGACACACTAAAAAAGCCAAACATACTGTATATAATATGTTAGCATGCTGGCTGTGAAAACTGTGTGAACTCAACTGTTTATATGAAATTTGAATGATATGGTAGATATTTGAGAAAATCTACACTTGCAATTTATTGATGAAAAGTTTTGCTCACTTTTTAGATCTTATTTTCACTTTTGTGTTATTAATGCACATATATTTTATGTGTTTTTAATCAATATTAATTTATACAATTGATTGTTGAATACTGAATTTGAAATTTATTCATGTACTATGTTAAATTACATGTTTAATGCAACTGTTTTTTATTTTGTATTTGCCCTGATAAGTGTTCTGGGAAATGTTATGTTATATTCTGATTTTTATTGAGTATAGAATAGGCAATTATTAGGCAGCTTCTTGAAGAATAAATAATATTACAAAGACCATATATTATTTACAAGTTTACCATGCAGCTTATATTAGCTTCACTTCCACTCCTGGGACAAGACTTTCATAAAGATTTTGATCAGTAGATTTAAAATTTAAAACCCCCATTATTTTGTGTAATTTAAACTATAGTCACTGTTATATGTAGTAGTAGTAGTAAACAGATAGAAGTAGGCAATGGTTAATGGTTAATGGTTAAAAGAGAAATAAATGTGCTAGACATCAAAGGTCATATAGCACTATAGGAAAGTATAGTAAAAGGTGATGGCAGGTGATAATTGTTATACGTCATCTATCTAAAGTAATATTGAAAGGTTGGAGATGGGTAAAGGAGTTGATGAGGGAATGGGTTATGGTGGTTTTGGTAAGGGGATTAGATCAAGTGAAGGATATTTATGCGTCTGAGGAAAAAGAACAGGTTGTAAGCAAGGATATAACGTAGGTCTGGTCTGTGAGAACGGAAACCACGAATATTCCATTGTAGGAGAGCTATATCTTAGTTATTTTATGAGTGAAAGCGCCTCTACGTGCAGGGGAATCTGGGGGGGCGGGAGCTATGGGGTGTAAAGGAGGGATATCAGGAGGTAGGGAATCTGGGGAAGGGCATTGTTGTGACATGAGTGATTCACGTGTGTATCCGGGAGGGAGTGGAAAGGAGAGAGGGGATGGAGGGAGGGAAAATGTACATATAGTTAGAGTTGAAGGGGGTGGGTTGTGTTGGGAAGGAGTAGGAGGAAATGTTGTGGGGGGAATATTAGTTGTAGGAGGATGGATATCGGAAGAATGGATAGTTAAGTTGAAGGGGATGTGTTGTCTTGGGAAGGATTAGGAGGAAGGGGTGTAGGGGTGCTATGAATAAGAGGGGGATGGATGTCAAGGGGATGGATATCGTGGTGGATGGAATTGAGGGGCTAGGAGGAAGGGGTGTAGGGGGAATATGAGTAGGAGGGGTATGGATCTCAGCAATCACTTCATGTGTGGAGGGAGCATGAGTTATGGAATTTTGTCTCTCAAGCATATAGTTTTGAATATCTTCCATAGTTTTTGCAGTGGAGTTGGTTGGAGAGTTTTGTGGGACAAAGGTTTCTTATGAGGGGGGGAAGAGGAGACTGGTGTCTGAGGAGTAAAGGTAAAGGTAGTGGAAGGCGGGGAGGGAGAGGGATGGTGTTGGGGAGATTGTGTTTGGCTGTGGTTGAGATTGGGTGTCTGGATTTAGAGTGGCAAAAGAATTTGACTTGGGGAGGCAGAATGTAGAAGTGGAAGTGGGGAAGTAGGTATAGGGGAGGGTGTAGGGACATCTTGAAGTGAAGGGGAAGGGGCAGAGCGAGCAACATTACTAGAGTAGGGAGTATGAGAGAAACCTTGTTGACGTGCTTCCTGTCTGGCTTCACGTAAAGTGAGACCATTTTTGTATTATCTGAGAGTTGCTACCTCAGATTCAAACTTGTAAGTGGGACAGCCTGTGTAAAATACATTATGGGGGCCACCGCAGTTAGCACATGTACGTGTTTGTGCAGAACAGTTTGATCTGTTATGACCTGGTTGGGCACACAGATGGCATCAGGCTGTGGAACGGCTGTGTTTGGCAGGATGTCCAAAGCGCCAACACTTTTGACATTGAAGGGGTGGGGGTTGGTATGGTCGAACAAGGAGGGATTGTCCACCAATGTAGATACGTAAGGGAAGGTTATGTGTACGGAAAGTAATTTTGGCAATGTTGATTGGTTTCTTTCATTGACTTCTAGGAGGAATGGTGCAGCAATGTACTGATTTCACGTCTTGGTCTTTGAGGCATTCTAATAAGTCTTCTCCACTGTCTGACCAATCTTTGGTATCGACTGGGCAGTTTGCTGGGGGAGAGAGACAGTTCCGGTACAATTATTAAGGATTGGATGAGGTTCTGCAGGAATGGGGATGCCAGAATGATCAGTTAGATTGGATAGTGCTGTAGATTCAGTTTCTGATCTGACTGTTACGAGACGGAAACGATCACGTCTGGTATTGAAAGGGACTCTGCCCACTTGTTTTTGGAGACATTGTTGAAAGAAAAGTGTTGCCTGAGTAAGGAGCTGTAGAAGGGATCACAAAAAATCGGTCCCATTTAGTTGGGCTAAACAGAGTACTTAAGATATTTGTAGGGTTGGTGGTGGTGGAAGAGGGATTATTATGGAGAATAAGGCTTAAGGTAGTAATAAGGGAGGATGGGGTGCTTGAAGGTTGTGGGGGTTGAGTTGATGACTTTGAGGAAGTTGGGAGGGTAGGAATGTCTTCTGGAGATTGAGTCTCGGCTTGGGTGGGTAATGCACTAGTAGGCATTGAGGAGTGGGTAGTAGTTTGTGTTAGGAGTCATGGTCAAAGGAGAGCCTGGGGTTGGGGACCCGGTGGAGCTATTTGATGAAGGGGCAAGCCTCATTGCCCCTAATAAGGGTATTACATCTTCATTACTGGCCATGGGAAGCCTTGATTATGTAAGGGAAATTAAGTCCATCCCCCAGTGCCCTATACGGGGGTAAGGGTCAGACAACTAAATCAGGGGAGGCCCAAGGCAGGCGAGATCCCTGCATTGGGTCTAGATGAAGGTTAGTCTAACTGGACTTGCAATGTTCTCAGTACACACGAACACACCTTCATAGAAATATGAAGAGCCAACAGTAAAAGAATTCTTCTGCTTTCCTCATGAATCTTTAATGACAAGAGACATTATCTTTAGCAATGTAACCTAAAAAATGTGGGTGTTGAATAGATTAAACATTGATTAAGAACTGCTTTCAGATACTGATGAGACTTTCATTAACTTCAAGAGAGTCCACAGTTTTCCTTTCAACATACTCCATGAATAATGGATTAACACGAGGGAGTAGAATAACAAGACAGATATTAAAGTAATTTTTATTTTTTTCAATATTTTTTTCTATAACAAAAACCTTGCTTGACTGATTTATTGCATGCCTTGTGGGTGTAAGATTACAGGAACATCAATAGCAATATGCATATTACTTTCTTCATTTTAGATATATTTCAAAATCATGCACATACTTGATTTTCTGAATAATTTCACTTGACTACAAAGTAAGTTTCACACAATATCTGGCAAGCAAATTAGCATTTACGGCTTACAATTATTCCTGCTTTTGTATAAGACTAGAAAAAAAGAATATAATATATATTCTTAAAACAAAGTGAGTATATGTTATACATGAATAAAATCCTCCATATTTAAATATATGTATTTGTATGTGTGT